TCTCTCCGGCATAAAAGAACTCGTCGAAGACCGAAAACGCCACAAGCAGGACGCCGAAATCAACGCGCGGATGGTGAAGGTGTTTGATCATACGGGGAGGAGTTTCGAGGAGAAGAAGTGGAGGCATTTGAGTGTGGGGGATGTGGTTAGGATTGAAGGGGGGGAGGCGTTTCCGGCGGATTTGGTGCTGTTGAGTAGTAGTGAGCCGGATGCGCTTTGTTATATTGAGACGAGTAATTTGGATGGGTGGGTTTTTCTTGTTTTTGGTGTTTTGATGTTGAAGTTTGGGTGCGGGGCGTGGGGGTGAGATCGTCTGGCGTGGGTCTGGCGTTTGTGGAGAACGAGTGGTGGGGTGGATTAGTACTGACAGAGCGGAGTTTGGTTCCGTGCTTTTCTACAGAGAGACGAATTTGAAGATTCGGCAAGGAAGAACGGAGACGGCGGACATTTTGACGCAGGATGCGGTTGCTAGTTTGGAGGGTATGTGGTGAAACCTCCGTTCCCTTTCTGTTAGATTACTTTTGGAAAGTTGCTCATAGATGGGTACGAATAGGTATCATCAGATGCGAACAACCCAACAACAGCTTGTACACGTACGAAGGGACACTGCAATTGCATGGGAGGACCATTCCCTTGGATCCGCAGCAGTTGTTGCTGAGAGTATGTTTTGTCTCCGTTTTTGCAAGGATGATGGGTTGTGATATGTGAGATTGCTTATTCGTCATGTTTCGTGTCTTTGTCTAGGGCGCATTGTTGAAAAACACACGATGGGTATATGCCGTTGTTGTGTTTACGGGGCATGAGAGTAAGCTTATGAGGAATGCTACGTAAGTTGACGGATTTGCTGTTTTCGCGTTCTTCAAGGGTAGGATTTGGAAAAGGGGTTTTTGGATTTCTGATAAAGAATCTCGATTATAGTGCTGCACCCATCAAAACGACGAAAGTAGAACGGATGGTGAACACGCAGATCATTTTCTTGTTTATTATTTTGTTGTGTTTGTCGTTGATTTGTTCTTTTGGATATGTTAGTCGGCAGGTAGGAAGCGTCGCGAGTAATTGGTTTGGGTGGCTTGTGCAGAGAAGGGATATTTATTTCGGCTTTTTTCCCCTCCTTCCCTTGCGCGATCGTGTAGTTGAATGCATCGTTTGAGTTGAACATCATCATGCAAGACCGCGCGGATGCGTGGACACAATTCGGAAAGAACATCTTGACGTATATCATCTTATTCAACAATTTGATTCCGCTCAGGTATGTTTTTTGCTTACTCTCGAGGGGAAACTAAACGGCTTCCATACACATACAAGCGCTGACACCGTCGTTGTCCACACACAAAAGTTTGATCGTAACGATGGAAGCCGTCAAGTTCGCCCTCGGCGGCCTAATCAACACCGATCTAGACATGTACGACGAACCCTCCGACACACCCGCCACCGCGCGAACATCCAGCCTCGTAGAAGAACTCGGCCAAGTAGACTACGTCTTCTCCGACAAAACCGGCACCCTAACCCAAAACATCATGGAGTTCCGCATGGCTGTTATTGGCGGGATCGCGTACTCCGACTCCATACCAGAAGATAAGAAACCCCGAACGGATGAGAGTGGAAATGAGGTTGGGTGGCATGATTTTGGGCGGTTAATGGAGAATAAGAAGACGCATGCTACTGCGCCGCTTTTGAGGGAGTTTACGATTTTGTTGGGGGTTTGTCATACGGTTATTCCGGAGCGGGTTGAGGATGGGGTTGGGGGGGAGGAGATTGTGTATCAGGCTAGTAGTCCGGATGAGGCGGCGCTTGTGAAGGGGGTGCAGCAGTTGGGGGTTTTCTTCCATGTGAGTCTTCGTTGTTGCGGTTGTGAGCAATCGCGAGGGGGAGCGTCCAATGATGCATCATCAGAAAGAGCTGACCGTTGTTTCCTCGCGCGATGTAGACTCGCCGACCAAAATCTGTGACTGTCCGTGTTGATGGGCAGGACAGGGAGTATGAGGTGTTGAATGTTTGCGAGTTCAATTCGACGAGGAAGAGGATGAGTTGTGTTGTTAGGGATCCCGAGGGACAGATCAAGCTGTATATCAAGGGTGCTGATACGGTTATTTTGGAGCGGTTGGCGGTACATAACCCCCATAAGGATACCACGGTTTATTATTTGGAGGTACGGGTTTGACTACAAAAGCGAATGATACAGTGAATCTGGATCTAACAGATTGAATAGGAATACGCAACGGAAGGACTCCGAACCCTCTGCATCGCCTACCGCGACATCCCCGAAGACGAATACCGGGAATGGGCCAAGGTATACGAAAAGGCCTCAACAACAATCAACAACCGGCAAGACGAACTCGACAAAGCCGCCGAACTAATCGAAAAAGACCTAACCCTCCTCGGCGCCACCGCCATCGAAGACAAACTCCAAGACGGGGTACCCGACACGATCGCAACACTCATGCAAGCCGGTATCAAAGTCTGGGTCCTAACGGGCGACCGACAGGAAACCGCGATTAATATAGGGTTTTCGTGCCGGTTGATTACGCCCGAGATGCAGTTGATTGTGGTGAATGAGCAGACGCATTTTGAGACGAAGGAGTGTTTGGAGAAGAAGTTGATTCAGGTTAAGAGTGGGCTTGGAATGGGGACCCCCGAGCCGGGTGGCAGGAGAGGTGTGTTGGAGAGGGTTGGGTTGGGGTGGGTTGGGGGGAAGAAGGGGAAAGGGTTTGATAAGGATATTGAGATGGATAATATTGAGGTGGGTTTTCTAGGAGGATTACTAGCTTTCGAAAAGCGGTTTTGAGTGGGGTTGAAACCGATCTTCTCACACAATTTCCAACAGCCCATGGCACTGATCATCGACGGGCGCACACTAGACTTTGCCCTCGAAGACGACATAAAACTCACATTCCTTGAACTCGCCACGCACTGCAAAGCCGTCGTCTGCTGCCGCGTCTCGCCCCTCCAAAAAGCACTCGTCGTCAAACTCGTGCGGAAAAACGTGCTCGACTCTGTCACATTAGCCATCGGTGACGGCGCCAACGACGTTGGAATGATCCAGGCTGCTCATGTTGGTGTTGGGATTAGTGGACAGGAAGGACTACAGGCTGCGCGGAGTGCGGATTTCGCGATTGCGCAGTTTAGGTTTTTGAGGAAGCTTTTGCTTGTGCATGGAGGGTGGGCGTATGCGAGGATGAGTAAATTGATATGTTATAGTTTTTATAAGAATATTACGTTGTATTTGATTCAGATGTGGTTTGCGATTAATAATGCTTGGAGTGCGCAGGTAAGCGTGGTGGAGTTTGGGTTGTTTTTTCTCTGCTTTGTTTTTTGTGTTTGTTTCTTCTTTTCTGTTGTTGACTGTGAAAATGACATTATTGTTCACCCCCACCCACAGACCCTCTTCGAAACCTGGTCCTCCGTGTCCTCCTACAACGTAGCCTGGTCCGTCTTCCAACCCCTCGTCATGGGAATCTTCGACCAATACGTCGGCGCGCGAATGCTAGACCGCTACCCCCAACTCTACCACCTCGGTCAACGTTCCGTCTTTTACAACCATAAGGTCCTCTTCTCCTGGGTCGTCAATTCTTTCTACCATTCTCTGTTTCTGTATTTCATGTGGCAGTGGGCGGCGGGGGAGGGAACCTACATGCCGGACGGGAGGACTGGGGATAATTGGAGTTGGGGCCAGATGGTATATACAAGTGTTCTGGCGACGATAGGGTGGAAGGCTTGTTTGGTTATTGATACGTGGGTGAAGTTTACGTGGATTGCGGTTTTTGGGAGTTTTGCGGTGTTTATTGTGCTGTTTCCGCCGGTGAGTTTTTTTTTTTCTGTGTGCTTTTTCATTTTTTTTGGTGCATGCGATTTGCGATTGTGCTCGTTGGCTGACGGGGCACTTGCGATTTGGGTATTATTAGTATACCGTTGTTGGATATCTTACGAACATTTCGCCTGAGCTGTTCAATATTCTTCGACCGATGTTTGCCAGTCCGACGTTCTGGTTTGGGTTATTGCTTATCCCACTTGCGGCGAATTTGCGTGATTTCGTATGGAAGTAGTAAGTACTCCTCCCACCTCTTTTCATCTCAATCACCCTCCCCACGCCAATACTCACCTCTCACTTTTCTTTCCTCCCCACCCAGCGTCAAACGCACCTACTTCCCGAAATCCTACCACATCATCCAAGAAGTGCAGAAGTACAACATCCCGGATTATAGACCGAGAATGGAGTGGTTCCGCAAAGCCGTGCATAAAGTGCGGATGATTCAACGGTTGAAGAGGAGTCGGGGCTTTGCGTTTAGTCAGACGGAGACGGGGCAGGTTGGGTTGATTAGTCGATATGATACTACGCAGTAAGTTGTCGGTTGTTGTGTGTTTGGGGGTTTGAGGTGGTTTTGGGGTTGTGGAGGTCAAGGTACTGATCGTTTTTCTTCGCGCAGACGGAAACCTACTGGTTTTTAGAGTGTTATTTGGATTGGTGGGGGCGGTTGGAAGGGTGGGATGATTTATAGATGATGGGGCGTAGTTTTCGGAGTGTATGACTTTTGTTTGTCTTTTCTTTTTGTTGTGTTTGTTATTTGTTTTTTTCTTTTTTGTTCTTTTCTCCTCTGTATAATATGTACTTACAGTTAGTAGTTGAGATGGGGCGGTTGGGAGGTTAATTGGGATGATTTTGCAATACGATAACGTTCTTTAAGAGATATGTGGTGTTTGAGATTTGGAGCGCTTCTTGATGTTTTGGGTTGCTTTTTCTTGCGTGTGGCATCAGAGATTGAAATCTTTTGGACGCATCAGTGGTCCGTAATTTCGTTGAAGTTGGTGAGTTTCGTAAGTTTTTCTCCTAAATGAGAACATGGTACCTTGTTCACCTGGTGTGTCTGAAGGATGAGCGGTCGTTTGTAAGGTTGCGTCAGGAGAGCGCACGGAAAGGGCGCGGAGTGGTGCGGAAGGTGAACCCAAGTAAACGGTGAGGAGAACAAAAATGCAGAAAAAAATGCAGCCAAGAGATGTTTAGATGCGCCCATCGGGAATCGAACCCGAGGCTAAAGCTTGGGAAGCTTCAATGTTGCCACTACACCATAGGCGCTTGACTTAAAAGTGAGGAAGTTTTAACTCTCATCACAATTGACAGCAACAGCTACAGCTTGCACATGCGGACGACAACCGCACTGCATATTCAACGTCATTCTCTCGATGACAGATTTACCGTGTAATAAAACTTTTGCTCAAAGTCTGGGACATCAGATCTTTCTAACAGCCAATTCTGCCGGCTGGGTATGCTGGCCAGAAATCACTCGACTGAGCCATACGGTGGCTATAGGATTGTTGTGGCAAAATGAATGCAGCGGCAAAAAGAATGTCCAGCCCAGAATATATACACACGTAGCGACCATCTCCAGTCCGTGCTTGCTGCCACCAAAGAACTTCAATCCGCGGCTAGTCTCGTCCTGTCAAGATTGTGGAAATCATGCCCGCATCAAAGCACACGTCAGCAAATGTGTGCATAATCTTCGTACTATTCTAGTTATTCTCGCCTCCTGGGTTCGAAGTGTATGGCATTCTACTCACAAATATGTCAACACCTTTCCTTCCTCTAGCTTCCACTCCACGGCACGCGCAATCTTCAATTAAACATATTGTGAAGAGGTAGCAATTGTCAATCCTCTTGGTCCCCTTGGTGCACTTTTGCGTCAGACACTTGCAAATTGAAAGCAATGCACAAAGGCTTCACACTCCTCAGCGATGCAAAGGTAGTTTATATCCCTAGTTGGCCGGCTACACCAATATTCCATCAGGATGCACTTAGGATTGGTAACTCCGCATTTAACCCTCAACTAATCTCAATCCTCACCAAACAGAAAGGCGGGCATCCGTCAATGAAAACCATCCACGGAAAATGAGAGCACATCAGCGTAAGGCTGGAAAATGAAAGATAGGAAGTTCTCGCATCGATTAAATGATACGCGCATCTTGTCAGCACACGACAAGAAACGTGCCTGCAAAGTCTAATATACTTCACCGAAGGCGACGAACGCTTGCAAACGTTTCAAACATCGTGGCGTCCTGCTACGCTTGATTCTTTTTGCGGTCTGTAAGAATTGAACTCACTCCAGTCGTCATCCATCGTCATCAAGACCGATTCTACGTATCCACAAAATTGCTCTAAGAAAGGTTTGACCCCTATCATTTGCAACATGATGCGCCGACTCACCCATCATTAGATCGAAGAGAACTTTTTCCCTATCGCACCATATCGGGTATGGAGCTCATGGACTTTTCGCGTGCATTCTTATCAATTCCGCAAGCATGTCCAGAGTGATAAATGTCAACAATATCTTCAGCACGAAAAAATCATAATTCAAGACGATGTATCACAGAGCCCATAGTGCATCTACGAGCACGATCATATCCCCAGCATGAGGAGCATTTGAGCACCATATGAAGAAACAAAGAGCTTGATATGCACCAAAAACTGAGGGAGTACATCCTAGCAGTAGCAATAAGGTCTGTCATCCACCAAAAGAAAAAGACATCCTTAGGGAGAATCACTCGAGGCCCAGGCTGTGACTCCATGCCGAAGGGACATATGAGATCTACGCTCAACATAAATTTGGTGATCTAAGGATGTTACTGATGCGACCAAACATGTGAACCATTGAGCTATAATCATATGCAAATGAATGGCACGAACAGAAGGAAGTGGAGATACAAGCCACTGGAAACTTTTATGGCCAGCGAGCTCACGGAATTGTCACAGTTTGTACGATCCAAATCCCTACCATCCGGACCCCTACACTCAAATCTGAAAGATTGATCATTCAAGGCATATTATCTCACACCATGCACCAGAAGTCAGAAACAACAGGAAAAGGCTGTGACAGACCACAGGAACTCCGGCGCACAAGTACCAACTCAGCAATCTATACCAGAACACAAGTCCCGCGTCGACTAATTCTGGATGAGGTGACTGGTCGATGAACCACATACCGGAACGTTGATAAACACGCCAGTATCAAGTAAGAAAAGAAATTCGAGCAGGCATATGAATGTGCGTCATTGGTCATTGCTAGCCTGCCACTAGCCAGTTCTTCGACTTGTGAGTATCTGAGGCAATGCATACGCATCAGATGCATTCAAAATGGCCTAAATCCGGTTTCTGAAGCCTTCAAAAAAAGTCAGGTTGTTCTTAGCAAATTGACTAAATGGACACTCGAATAAATGCCAGCAATTGTCCGTCAGCATTTCCCATCCGTTACCCTTTACCACAGGTGAGTCATTCAAAGCGCCACAGCCGCTACACCCAATGCATACGCAAAAAAGGCAGGTGAGCATCAATATCCCAACATTCAAAACCCTGAAGCTTGGGGATGCGCCAGGTCTGCGCTGTCAGCTTTGACCTTGAGGACAATGACTTGTTACTAGGCGTAATTCGTAACTATAAATCACATGTCTCCCACTCACAAACTATTTAATGGGTAATTACTTGATAAGACACATATGCAAAGAAGACTGCAGCCGGCCCATCCACGTATCCAAATCCCGGAGGCTCGACAGCTTCCACATCTTTGATGTCAAACACGCGTTCCAACACAGCCCGCAGCATCCCTCTCTGCAACACAACACGCTTAGACCTCTTCTCCCTCAACAAGCACTTGTACCACAACCAACCCACGGACGCAAACGACTTTGCCAGCGTGAAGACCAGTAGGAGAACGGGGACGTGGGTATAGGAGAAAGCGACGGACATGTATGCGAGTCCGAAGAGGAATATGGATATGCAGCCCTCTGGCCCGAAGAGGCCGGGCCAGGCGTTTTGCATAGGTTTATTGGTTAGGAAGTTGGATATGGGTAGGAGGAGGAAGTTGAGTGAGCCTATGAGAAGGAAGTGGACCGTGTAGGGAAGGAATGGGGGTAGGAGCGTCATAGCGGTTGCGCAGGTCAGTTAGGTTTGAGCCGGCCCAGAATCCACCTGGTATGACAGTGAGCCTGCGACCGAGCTTGAAGTGGGAGGGGTTAATATAGTGCCGTTGGGAAACTGGGAAAGGAGTGCCGTGATGAGTGAAAGTTCAGCAGCCCGCGCTCCGAGAAGGAGATGAGGAGATGAGGAGATGAGGAGATGAGTCAGAATCCGAAGGAACTCTTGAGCCTTGGCCCATGGGTCCATTGCTCATTTGCAATCCGTCACCACCGATGGTACTATGTACTACCATGAGTAATACAATGAGAATACATCAGTGGTACCAATGTCATACCCAGTGTTATACGAATGACGTTCGATCGGCGATGCTTGCAAATCAGGAATGGAGTCAAACATGCCATACTGCGCCACATGGCCCATGCCTCATTGCATTGCTCGTGTGAGTGTGACTGTGTTATCCCTCCCTTTGGATACAGTGCATACCTATTGACTCCCAGTCTACCCAGACAAACTTACTCACTACCAACTCGGGGCACCCTTGCTCTCCCTTTTTCCCACGCCCCTCTGCCTAGAGCTTGCTTGGTCCGACATCCACACCATCAAATAGAGTGTTGAGACGATAGAACAACCCAGCGCGCTCTTCGCTTGTTTCAGTACTGACGGAAGATCAATAGCCTCTGCGTGCACTCGGTAAGCATTAGCGAGCTGGAATCTTCGCGGTGGCGATATCCAAACACACTGATACGCTTTGCGCTTGGTTGTTGCTCATCCCATGCCAGCTTAGAACAGAAAGAACTCTCTTTTTACGAGCGTTTGCAACATCTGCTCTTACGGCTCCACGTCCACTTTCCTGTCTTCCCAAGTAATTAACCCGCACCCCGTCTAATCATGCAACCCCGGATGGGCCCCCGCAAGAAGCCCGCCATGACACTTGGTCTGGGTGGACTGGCCGTAGAGAAGAACACTCCCTTCATGAACTTCTCTCGATACGTGTATGTGGTGTTTGCCATCACCCTCCACGGGCCGTATATGCTCATCTCATCCCCATTTCTCAGAGATCCCTCAGGTCGTCTAAACTTTGCTGGAAAAGCAATCTTGCACACAGACGGTGTGGACTTTTCATCGGGAAACTCTTATAAAATTAAACGTGATGACTTGGTGCCTTTGGAGATGTTGGGCAAGGGCCAGTATGGCACTGTTCACAAGGTTCATCACAATCCTACCAATGTTACCATGGGTGAGTGTGGCGTTGTGGATTTGGTGGGTGGGTGGGTGGAAAGGTCACGCGCAGCGTGATGGTTGGGGAAGGTGTGCGAAAGGAATGAATTGGAGCGCGCCAGCGCGACGTGAGCGATTTATTGAGAACGGATCGCGAGTGGTTTAGTGAGGAAAGAAGCGCAAGCAAAATGGAGGGTGGTCAGCATAGTTTGGTTTATTAGTGAGCTTTAGCGAACGGATCTTACATAGTAAAGATTTGACATAGGGGTGGGAGGGTGTGGGTGGGTGGGCGGGTGGGAAAGGGTCGGGTGGAGGGTAAGTATGTGTGCTTGCAACTGACATATCACCACTGCCAGCCATGAAAGAAATCCGCCTCGAACTGGACCAAAATGCGCTCAACCAAATATTGATGGAGCTCGAAGTCCTACATAAATCTCAAAGTCCCTACATTGTAGAGTTCTATGGCGCTTTCTTTGTAGAATCTTGCGTATATTACTGGTACGTGCTACGATATCGTCTTGATCTTGCTTGTCTTTCCGATTGCTGAGCGATTTCCTTCTCAGTATGGAATACATGGACGCATCACTAGATAAAGTATATGGGGAAGGGGTGCCGGAGCCGGTTTTGGGGAAAATAACTCTAGCTGTGAGTGGTCCAAAGTTTGCATGCGATCACTGAACATGAGAATAACATCTCGTTACAGATGACGAAAGGTCTCAAATTCCTGAAAGACGAATTATCCATCATCCACCGAGACGTCAAACCCACAAACGTCCTCGTAAACCAAAAAGGCGAAGTCAAACTATGCGATTTCGGCGTATCAGGAAAACTCGTCCAGTCATTAGCGAAAACCAATATTGGGTGTCAGATTTACATGCCTGTAAGTTACCACGCTGTACACTCCCACCTTCCAGTTCGAAACCTCAATAATTCTCCACCAACAGCCAGAA